AGCAAGGTCTGGAAGTCGGGAGCCCCGAGACCCTGCTGGAGACGGTGGCCAGAGCCTACGCTGCAGAGCCTGAGCCCAGCCGGGAGGCGCCGAGCTGTGCGGGCACTGACCCATTGCATCAACTCGTATCTCCACCTTCTTTCCCCCATCCCTGTGCAAGCCCCTCCGTGGCCAGCCCCGCTTCACAGCTGCAGAGCGTGCCCAGGTCAGCCATCCCCTCCGGGGGATGAAGGAGACTGCTGGCTCAGCAGCACTGGGTTGATGGCACACATGCGTGCCCTCCCCATGCCCAGAGGGGACAGCTGGATGCCCCTGGCTAGGGACAGGACCGCTCACCTGGTTGGAGCGGCAGGCAGGGCCAGCCCTGCTCCGGTGCTTCCGGTGGGCCTCAGCTGGGCCGCTCAGGTTTTTCTGTGGGGAAACACAAGGATTTAGCAGCGTGCGGCTCCGCGCCTGCCCCCAGCCCCTGCCCTGAACCTGCCGGACCCTGCACACGGCACACAAGAGCTCTACGGGACCGCTCAGATGAACTGCACAGAGCAGCCCAGGAACAAGCCCCCTTCCCCGCTGCCCCCCTATTAGGGGGAATACCGTTCTGTTCGACCTACAGACCCATTCAAGATCAAGCTCCCCTCCCACGTGCTAGGGGCTGTACACCCCGCACCGGCATCCCCGACAGCCCGAGACACATGCCCTCCCCTGGGGTGACCGGCTCACCAGGTTGTGGATCTCGTCGAAGAGCACGGCTTGGTACTGCCGCAGGATCTCCACCACACCGCACCTCCGCCCGCCCTTGCTCAGCACCAATGAGGCCAGCAGTAGCAGAACAGCACCGAGGAGGGGCCTGGGGACAATCTGCAGGGGAATGACCTGGATTCAGCAGGGCCACCCCTGCCACGGTCCTCGCAACTGGAGGCTCAACCCCAGAGGCAGCGCAGCCCTCTGCCCCTGGCACAGCCCTCCGCAGCGCTGCAGACGCGTGCTGTAGACTTCCACTGTCTGCAAAACGGAGCCCAATTGGGCATCTGGTGTCCACCCTTCGATTTCGGACGGCGGCTCTGAGCAAGCTTGGAGCACGCGTGAAGACCCTGCCCACTGTGGGCGCCAGTCAAGGCTTCGCAGCTGCCTCCGAGTCAGCTGGGACATGGTGCCTCACGGGCTGCAGACCCGTCTCCGGTGCCCCTCTTCCCAACCCCAGCCCGGCGAATCTTGGCCCCTGCACTAGGATGGCCCCCGCATGAGATCACTCTGCAGCCTGAGCAGAAACGCTGCTTCTCTGCACAAAACGGTCAGCATTTGAGAGTGTGAACCAGGCATTTCAGTGCCCTGCCAACAGCTCCCTCTCTCTTTAGAGCAGAGGAGCCCCCGGCCTGGTAGCGCTGAGCAGAGACCGGCTCTCAGCTAGCAAGGAGGGAGATGCCTTAGCACGGAAATAGCCTCCAAGGATGGAGATGCTGCAAAGAAAGCAAGGCTCAGCTCCATAATGGCGCATGGGATAAAATAGAGGAAAGCGTTTCAGTAAGGAAAGGGATGCTGTTCGTGCACCGCTTCCCTGCCTGCAGGGACAAGCCCAGGGCTCACGGGCAAGTGTCACACGCTGCGTTTGCTGCGGCACGTCAAGAAGCGCCCTCCTTCCGTCAGCCTCATGCAGCAACTAGAGGTGCACTGGCCCAGCCCGAAGCCAAGGCTTTGCAGTTCAAGACGGCAGCGGGAATGAAGGAAAGCTTTGCATGAGAACTTCCCAGCTAAGGGTGCCCTCCGTGCACAACTCTGCCCCGTGGGCTTGCAAAGGGGATTAGAAACACCTCGGAAAGACAAGACACAACAAGCTCTTGGAGACGTGAGCAGTACACACAAGCATCGCTCTGCGACCCTGGAGCAGGGGACCTATGTAGACACAGAAGCATCTAAGCAAACCGAAAGGCTTTGCAATGGGCTGGGAAAGGTCATCAGGTTTTCCCCCCACCTGCAGCAAGATCTGACACCTGTAGCTCCCATCAAGCAGGCCTGCCTGGAGGGAGAGGGGGCCGCTTCGGAAGCATTTATCACTAGGGAACCTAATCCTGCCTGCCGTTAAATACCAAAAACTCACTGGGTAGCGGCGAGAACGGCAGGGACGCGGGATCTGACTCAACATGTTGGGATCCACGGGGAAATGAGTTCGCTGTCTGAACAGACGGGCAGGGGCCTGCTCGCAGGATACGGGGTCGCAGCAGGACCCTCAGCTTACGGCAGCATCGGCCCGGGGAGGGTTTGCCGTCGCCTTCGGGCTCCCCAAAGGGAGGACTGGCCTCTTCCCGGGGGAACGCCGGGATCTTTGCCCGAGCTACCATCAGAGCCAAGATGGACCGGGCGGCAGAGGGGACGTCCCCGCCACAGCGTCTGAACCCCGCTCTTCATGGAGGGAGCAAGCCCAGGCCGTTCGGTTCCAGCTCAGAGGCGAAGAACTCTTTCCTTAAATGGCCTAGCGAGCAGTTGGGCCCGGATTCAAGAGGCGCAGCCTTTCCAAGCAGCTGGTCCTAAACTCTCCCGGCTTCCTCCGTGAAGCAGCCTCCCGGGGGAGCGACAAATTCCCCGAACTCATGTGACCAGCCTGGCCCCGAAAAGGGGGGCCACTGGCAGAGCCGGGAACGGGCAGACCCGGGCCGGCGGGCGCTCCGGCACCTGTGGCTCGCTCCGGTTCCCACGCCGGGGATGCACTGGTGCCCACGCGAGGGAGGCGGGCGGCTGGGGTGCTCCAGCGGCAAGGAGCCCCCAGGACGGGGTCAGAGCCGGAGGAGAGGGATGGGGGTGCCCCAAGATGCAGGGGGTGGGG